CTTTGTCCACAGTATGGTAATTTTTCTTTTGCTACATTGAAATATTTCAAATCAGTGCACTTAAAATATTGTCTGTGTTGTGTTGGTTTCCCAGCAGGTGGCGATCTGCAGACAGGTAAACTGCTCAACATGTTGGTTTGAAGAAAATAAGACTGCTTTTTTTTGTTAGTTTTTATTTTCAAGTAGAAAAGAAAAAAATCAGGTTTAAARCAGCTAAACATCATTATTTGTATAAAGCTTGGGCACATTTTAAAAAAGAAAAATCTGATTAAAGCTTTATTTACCAAACAGTTCTTAGAATTTCACACTAAATAACAGTCATGAATTAGAAAAAATGTTTTCTGTGCTTTCTCTTATTTCATAAAAATGTTTAAAAATCACAGCCTAAACTCTAMACTATGTGGCAAACAGGGTTGAGATCATATTAATTTGTATTTCACAGATTTTAAATAAAGATGTTCTTTACTAAAACAAGTAAAATAAGTTTTCTTTCTCTTTGACTCTAAGAAAACCCATCTGACTGAAGGCTGCAGTCGGCCCTTCGTGTCGTTTCGACCGCTGCCATCGTCTCAAAGTTCTCTAAGAGCATCACTGAATGAAGAGGCCAAAAGGGGAGAGAGTTTGAGTGCAGGGTTTTACTCCTGAGCTCGTTACAACACACAGATACCAGGAAGTCAGTTAGCCCTCTTCTGTCAGGCTCCATTAGTCCKATTACAGGCTGAGGCTTAATGAGGGGGGGAGGGGGCACACACAGTGAGTCCAACAGCAAAGCAACGAGGAGGGAAAAGTTTGGAYCAGATTGTAAATAAAGAGTTTTTCATCACAGAAGGGCTTTGTTTATCCAAAACCACTTTTTCAGATTTAAACATTTTAAGACTTAATGAGATAGAAAGATAGAAAATAGGTAATTAATAGAGTTTTATTGTGAGATGAAAATTATGAAATGTATTGAAGTCCAAATGCAAAATAAGGAGTGAGGTCACATTTAGTTCGTTTTAATTTTTTAATAAAATTTATTGAGATTGAATTTGTGATCTTGGCAGGAAGARCATACTGTAAGTCCCAAACAAATCAAAATTAAACAATCATTTGGACAATTTAAACAGAGWTTTATTTTTCTTCTATGGAGTCTATATCTTTCATTTTGTTCTGTTCCTTATAGAGTCTTAAAATATTCTCACTTTGAAATAAAACAAAACTTCCTGTAACACTGATAATAGTGCTGCAGTCAAAAGAACAAGATAAAATTATTTCACATATGAAGTTATTTCAAAGATGATTCTAAAAATTCCTCCTGGAAGTAGAAAAAACTCCTCAGTTAATGGATGAGGTCAGTTTTTCTTCAGTTTAGTAACAGAAAACATTAAACAACTAGAAGCACTTGGAGAGTGCAAACCTCCGCCAAGACCACTTTCCCCCATCCTCTAAGAGTTAATGCACTAAAGCAGAGACGGAAACACATTTGCTGAATAAGTTCTGGCGTAGTGAACATTTAAGCAGCAGTATGCACGGGATTTCTTCTAGGTGGAGTCCAATGTTAAAAAATAAAGTCAGACTTATCACCCGACGTTATTCATCATCAAACTGGTGTGGGATTAAGCTCCTAAGTTTTCATCAGTCACATTTCACCATGTAAAATGTCTGTTTCATCTCCTTGTATGAGTTTGTAATGGTTTGACTCTCTTTATAAAGTGCTTCCTGGCTCCCCCCGTCTCCAAACTTTGAGGCCCGGCAGCTCTCTGTTTACAAGCCTAGTAGAGACAAACTGTTTTGATTGGTTGTTTCAGAAATGTGGTGTGTTTGAGGAAATGGGAAAAATGGGTTTCATGTTGCAGTCACAAAACGTTCTGTAAATGCGCATATTATGGCAAAAATTATWCATCATTAAATCTGGTTTTAACGTTACTTTTATAAAGTTTGAAGTCCGTGCTGTCCAATCCAGCTCACWGTTTTTTACAGAAGCCCTGTGAAAGCATCACAGCTTTGCTGATCTCAGAGTGTTAAAAGAAAAAAATTCCTGTATCCACATCGTGATCCGGAACATCACCAAAATTTAAAGGTGTGTTTCTTGGCCCAGTACACACATGTGGTAAAAATGTCATGACAATCCGTCCACAAGTTTTTGAGTAATGTTGTCCACAGACAGAACGACAGACAGACATACGCGACCGAAAACACCTCATCCTTGGCGGCGGTAATTATTTCAAAGAAGGTTGGACCTAAAATGTTTGGTTAAAAACAAAAGCGCAGCTGCTTTCTATGATGTTTCATGTAGAGGTGCACACCTTCATGCTTCATGCTTTAACTGCTGCCGTGTTGCTTGAGTGACACATCAGGCTCCTGATCCTGACCTTCATCCCTTTTCTTTAAAGAAGAGAAGYGATCTAATGACCGTCAGTTTGACATTTTTGGAATTTCACCTGCATTTTCTGCAAGAGACRATGAAATCTCCCTCTGATGCTGCAAGTAAAAAAAACTAAATATCAGCTGGAATGAGATCATCTCTGGTGCAGAACTAGAACCTGCTCTGGTTCATCTCAGAGAACRTCCTCAGCTTTTCTCCTGTTCTAATAACAAATCCATCTGAGCTCCTGCCTCTCAGGGATTTTCCCAATTTTAGTTCAAAAATACTTTTTACTGGAGTGAATTATACAGATTTAAAGTAGCAGAGAGAATCCTGAGGATCTGTTGAGCATCAGGTTATTTTAGCTGAATTTGCTGCTCCTGAAAAAGCAGCTTTTGTGTTTCAGAGGAAAGAAAACGTCTCATTTCAGGTCTTTTTTTTTTTTTTTGCTTCATTTGATTCTTGATCCAGTTTTTGTGCTGTGTGTCGGGCGTGACGCATGTTTAACCTGACATGCTCTAATTCCTTAACGAGATTGGCCATCCCCGGATATCTCAGAAAACCCTGATTAACCAGGTTCAGCTCATTAGCTCTGCAAACCAATTGCAACCTTATTGTCAGCCTCTGCTTTTACTCCATCGCCACAAAACGTATCCAAGAACATTAATCAATGAYGATGTGATGGTCGAAATAAAAACGCTGTTTGAAAAATGAATTATTTTCATTTGGTAAAGATTTCCTGTCTTTTAAATTGATTTTATCTGCTATAAATTACACTTTCTCTAAAAAAATCCCTCATTTCTGCCAGCGTTAGCAGACTTCTCTTTAACTTCCTGCCCCGTTCTCTTCACCTCCTCTTGTCATTTAACCTCATGACCTGTTTCCCTCCCAATCAGTTTACCTGAGTCTTCCTGCCATGTTCCCTCCCACTGTTTCTCTCAGTCTCTCCTTCCCTCTTCTGTTTCCATCTTTGTTCTTGATCCTTTCATCCCTTATCTCCTTCATCCCCTCCAATCCCTCAGCTGTTCTTGTCTGCGGAGGAAGGGCAGGAGAAAGAGAGAGTTTTTCCACCAGCAGAGCTCCGTCAGCAGTCTGCCGGGGAGAGCGTCGGAGGAGCCGCCCATCCAACCTGGGATTGTGAAATCTGAAGGAGCTCGTGAGGTTTGGAGGCGACTGGGACCAGAGGCTGCTCACCTGCAGGAGACAAGGCAGGTGAGTGGAAACYTACTTTCATGCTTCTGCAGGTGCTGATGAAGAAGGTTTGGAGCTTCTTCTAGATTTGATTTTTTTAAAATCTGAAAAACAAATGGCAGCGTGCACATTCAGTGTGCATATACAAAGAATTAAACGTCACTTGAAAATGCAGCTGCATTTTGTGAAGCAAGTTAAAACTCTGAGATGAAGGCCTGAACTCGATCAGCTCTCAATACTTTAGAAAAACATTTCCAGGCATACGTTCCTGCTTTCACTACCTTTTACTTTTCCAAAGAGGCCTTTTGGATGAAAGCTGTCGAAGAGGATTGTAGCATCAGGTGTGACAGGAGTWATCCGTCACGCAAACCAGAGTTCAGCTGCAGGAAATGTTTTGGGCTTCACAWGAAACATTTTGTTTTCTCAGCTGAGAGGACATTAAAAAGGCAGATGTTCATGTTTTGGACTGAAAAACTGAAAATGTACCCCTTGTCCCTCCTCATCTTCTTCATCACCCCCTACACAACACACACACACTCACACACACTGCTGCGTTGTTGATCTGGAGGTAAAGAGCAGGCAGTAATCGGATGACAGGAGATTGGAGCGATAAATCCAAAGATCTTCTGGTGGACTTTAAAACCTTTGCAACAACCCACCTGAGCACCCATCAGCACCGCTACTGCTGTGTAGGTTGTGTTTTTCTGTTGTCTTGTCTACCTTACTCTGGTGTTTCTTATTTATCATTACGCCTCAGATGTTACCTGTCACTTCCTTCCTCAGTCAATTACACACACCTGTCAGTAGCTCCCAATTAGTGTTTTCATCAGCTGCAGTTCATTTCCTCATCCCCTCTGTTTGTATATATTCTGGTTCAGCTTTCCACACACTCACTGGTTCATTGTTTGGTCTTTACCTCCTGTTATGGTCTTCCTGTTGTTCCCCTGCGCCTTTGAGTTCCTTTTGTTTTTGCTGCCACATCAGCTTTTGTTTTATTTTTGCCAAATAAATATTTTATTCACAAACTCATCTTCTCCGTCCGGGTTTGGGTTCATTCCTGCTCAAACCTTAACAGCTGCACTCCTGCTGCACACAGGCCACACTCTGAGGACTCAGCTTTTTATTAACGATACATTTAGACCTTAATGTGCAAAAACACAAGTGAATGCAGAGCTGCAAATCTGCCGTTTACTGCAACTTTTTCTGTTGCATCACTTAAACTCAAAGGGTTCTCAAATCAAAACKATGCTTTTCCATCTGATTTATAAACAGTATGAAGCTTTTTTGCTTTTTAAATATCATGTTTATCAGTTCTTAAAGCTTTCTGCAATGATTCACATCACATTTTCAGCTTAGAATTAACAATATTACTCTTTTCATGAGTAAATTGCAAAGTCTCAGCCCTGAAAGTTGCCCTTGTTGCAGCTACTTGGCATAAAATTTGTTCGACGCCATCATCTCATTAAGAGAATTAGACTCGTACATTACACTGCAGCACACAAGGCTTTCAGTGGGGAGGGGGGATAATGGTGCAAGGTTTGTGTTCTGCATAAAATCATACAAATACATCAATTAACACAAACTAAATGCAAATCAGGAATTAAGCATTTGCTTTAAAAGAGTAACAGAAGAACCCGACAGGACTAAACCTGGTTTTGATTATTCTAATCTCAAAACATCAAAAAAGTAGAAATTAAATGAGTGACGTTCTGGACAAAACGGAGTAAAACTCGTTTTGTTTTTCTGATTTTCCTCCAAATGTTTGAATAAAAATATCCTCTTTCTTCCTCCTTTCTTATCTGACTCCATCTTTAAACTCTTCAGTCATGTCTTCCCTCTGCAGCCGAAGCCTCAGCTCACTTTACTGCATCTTTGTTGTGAGATCACATCTATAAGTCCTGCTTTAACYAACGCTCAGATTTCAGGGTAACAGATGAGCTCTTTGTGAGTCTGTGTCTGATTTAAGAGCCGTCGGTTTAAACCGAGAGAAAGCAGCAGCCATAACTCACACCGAGACGTTGAATCTGTTGTCAGTGCAAAGAATTCCATCTAAAATATCTGAACAACTGTGAGGGGAAACTAATCATTTATGTCCAACTTTCACTTSCTTTTTGTCTGCTTCCTGTTCCAGAGTGACTGTTTTGGTTGTCGTCAGTAACATCCTCCAGCATCCGTTGCCATGGCAGCTGAGAAAGCTGAAATAGATAAACTGAAAAAGGAGTGCGATGCCCTCCGTACACAGATCGAGGTGAGGACTTCCTACTTCCTGCTGAGGGTTTATTAAAACTATCAAATCAGACATGTTCTCCCTTTTGTCACTTTTTTTATTAAGAATTGACTTTTAATGGTTATAATGTATTACATTATATTAAATATGATGTAACATACTTAAAAAAGCTGCAAAATCACACACAATGAAAGAATATAATGAAATAATGACAGAATTAACATCTTTTGATGAATTATTTCCTGATATTTTCTCCTCAGGCGGCCCGTAAAGCGGTGAACGACACCACCATGACAGCAGCATCCAGCGGTGTCGCCTCGGTGGGCCGGGTCCAACTGAAGCTCAGGAAGACACTGAAAGGTCACCTGGCTAAAATCTACGCCATGCACTGGGCTGMAGACTCCAGGTGACCAGTGCAACACACATTCTGACCAAAGAGCAACTTTTTATACCAAAATAAGCAACWTTTTACACAATTTATGTTTTAGACTTGAAGTAAAAACCCCATAAGAAGGAATTTTATTTACTTAGCTTCAGATTTATGCTTTATTTGTTCTGATAAAGTATGATTTAACACAAAAAAGAAACATGTTTTTCAAAACTAAACTCATTAATCTCATAAATTCCATATTAATTTAATGTAGAAAAACGTTTTATTTGAAGAAACCATCATTTTAATGCCAAAAATCCACTTTCTTTAAATCGTGATATCGTTTTGGAACCTAAACATTTAATTGTTAACCTTCGTTTTTCCCTGTATCTTACATTTCTTTTATGTAATCGTGTTTTATGTTCTAATTTAGTTTCTAACTTTTACTTAAACTTTTGTTTCACAGATAAATAAAACTGAATGAACAACTTAAAATGAAGTGAAAACAAGTTAACTCCATGTTCAACTT